ACTTTTGCTAATCTTATTAAATCATCATAACTATCTTTAGTAACCAATGTTGTGACTGTTATGTCATCTTCCTCTGGTGTCAATTCTGCACGGAAATAAAAGGGAAAAATACCATCTGTAGATAATTGTGAGCTTTCGGAATGCATCTTAAAAAATCGATATTTATTATTCATTTCTGATAGCGGAGAAGTATTGTTTGTGTCTAAATATATATATGTATTTATATATATTTTAAAGAAAAAAATGATTGAGTGAAATCTTAAAATCGACAGATTTCTCAAAGCATTATTAAAGCTGTTTTTTTTTTTTTTTTTTAACCTACTATACATTCGGTTTATAGGTTGTAAAGCTTTTCGAGATTTTCCTCTAAGATGCTCGAATAGATGTATAGAAGATAAGATTACTGAAAATGAAAAGTATCCTAACACAAGTGTCCATAATATTGTTTTAAAAAGCCTTCTTGAAAGGTTTCTGAAGGTAGACTGTGGTATAGTGCCTGCAACGGGTAATATATATGATCGTTGAAGCATTTGTACTATGAACGAAAAGAAAGAAATTTTATGCTTTAAGTGCCATGCGATAATCTAATGGTTTCTATTTCGATTTGTTTTTTTTCTTTTATTTATTACCATTCTAAGTATAAAATTTTATAATTGTGTACACATGATTGTTAAATAACGATATCGATATTAATTTTGTAAAATTGTTTGGTATGCCAAAAATCTTGGTGTTAGAGCTTGGTACTTCTGTACTTTCGTTAAATTTGACTTGTTTCAAACCTGTTTCAAGTTATAGATTGTTACCCAATTTCGGGTCAAAATTTGAAAACTACGTAAAAAAAATTTGGTTTAATAACCGGGTGGGTATTTTATAAATATGAAATTTAAAAAAAAAGCCGACCGGCCGGGTTCTGTTTAAAAGTTTCATGTTATGAAAACCAATATATTAAATTTGTGTGGCCTTAGTAAAGCTTTTTTTTCAATTTTTAGTATGTACAGTCGGCTCCAAAAGTTTAACACGGTTACATAAAAACTATAAAATATATTTTATTGAAAATATATAGCAAATATTAAAATCTATATTTTATTAAAGATTGCATATCAGTCAAACTTTTTTATAATCACATTCTTGGTTTTAAGAATTTGGTGATTATAAAGAGTTTGTGTTTATATAGAGGTTAAATTTTATAAGTGTTATATAAGTTGGTTTTAAAAATTTATGTGATTATAAGCAAATGTAATTATAAAGAAGGTGGTTTGATTATATATAGTATTAAACAAAAGTTTTTTTGCATTTATATCTTCTTACAAAGAGGTGATACAACCTTGAAATTTTTCAAGAAATTAGTAAATAGTTTTGTATTTTTTTGAATAATTTT